ATATTATTTGTTTACAAATTCAAGTCGCGTAACGTAAATTAGTCTAGCGCGTAATTTATATTACGAAAATTTAGATCACTGATCATCCGGGTCACCCGGGTCACCCAGGTCAAGGAAAAACGTGACCCTGACCCGATGGGTTTTATCGAATTAGGACTCGTGTCATAAAAATGATAAACCCGACTCGAGAAAAAATTCGAGTCAGGTCGATCAACCCGGGTCGACTCGACCGGCTCAGAGCACTATTTGTTGCAACAACATAATCAACTGTTGGCACTTAATGAAGCTGCTATACAACAAGAAAAAGTAAATATTTATTTTTTTTTACTTTAACATTTGTAATATTTATCGCTTGAGCATATTCTATCAATCGTAAATCATTTAAAAAAAAAGGTGGTTTGTAACTTTCTAAATATTTATCGAAATAAGAAACTATGATACTTTCAGCCAATAAGATTATATATTGGTCTATTAATTGAAGTGCTTGAGAACGCTCTAAATCTGATTAAAAAGCTTGTTAAAATTTAGATATTATAATTAAGCGTTGCATTACTTTGAAAAATAACACTGATTTTATATCATATTATCGAAAAATTGAAATCTGTGTAACACGAGTTTTTAATTTTTGTGAAAAAGATGTATTGATAAATTTTGATTATACAAATTCATATTTAGATCGTACTGTATCTTTTCATTATAATCTTAGAATAGATTTTTGAAGCCATATAACTTATTTTAGTCTTCAAATTCTAATTTTGGCATAATATTCATATAAATGTCCATGTTCTATCCATTAATCTGAATTTGCAGAGGAAGTATTGTTCGAATATTCTTTAATGAAATATTTCTTACTGCAGAACTGCTGGTTCCTTACATGGAAATACGATCTAGCCGTAATGAGATCAGTAAATTTTGTTAATTTACAAGTTCCAGAAATTTATGCATTTTAATGATTAGTATAGAGAATTTTTATTGAAATTAATAGCACCTATTATGCTTATGCAATAATATTTCAAATTAGGTTACCGATAATATTATATATATGATTTTAATTTAATTATATAAAATAATATTTACAATTAAAACAATATACTTTTCTAAAATTATAAATTGAATAAAAAAAATTATTGCGCAGTAAATTTTCTATGTAATTGTGTAACAACCATACAATAATTGTAATTCAACAAATAGAATATTTACTTCGCTTTTAAAAATAATTTTTAAAATTCAAAATTTTATATTGGTTGAAAATAAGTAATTACCCGGGTATCGTCTAAAATTCCGAATGTCAAAAATCCCGACATCAACTTATTGATCGTCATAATTATTTCATATCAATCACACTTTTTTTTTCTTTCGATTATTTTTTTTTTTTGTTGTAACTTTACTTGTTTATATTTTAATCATAAAAACTTATTAAAATATGGATGAAATATGCAAAATTTTGTCATCACAAAAGGAAAGTAATAAAGTAGATGTTCGCGACTATTTAATGGTACAAGAATGAATACGAAAAATACATATTACTGGTGTTGTGAAAAAAGAAAACTAGAAAATTGTAAAGTTCGAGCAACTTAAAAGTTTTGTTGAACATCGCCACTCACCTCAGGCTAATGAAGAAAACGTTGCAAAACCTATTGCCAACATCAGGTAAAAAGCTCGTACAACTAGAGATAAACCTGCACAAATAATTCAAGATATCACTGTTAATATGTTACAAGAGTATCAACCCTACATGCCATCTCCTAATGCTCTTCGTGCAAGTATTAAAGAATTAGAAGAACAGAAATGTCTCCACAACCACATTCTATTAAAGGAATTAATGTTCCAGATTCACTCCGTTTCTTCATATAAGGATTTAATAGTGATAATTAACTACACAAGTGAATCGTAATAAATCGTTAGATAACCGTAAATTCTCTTGGAAAGGCCTTCGAGATATTTGGATACTTGAGATAATTGGTTTGTTAGCTTGGTTTCGGTATAATTCTAGGCCTAACAACGTAAAGAGAGATTTTATTTTATTGTAGCAGCAACAAGTAACCCAAAATTTTGAGTACATTTGCTTGTCGTGTATTGTATAATAAATTTGTAGATAAGGTACATTTGTACTGGGTTTCCATTTGAGATAAAAATTGTTCGTTCGTTGTCCTGGGATATTTAAAATAGAAAGGATATTATAACAAATTTTTTGAATTCCCCGTGGTTAAATAAGTAAATAATTACGTGAATATTAATGGTATTGTGACTGATATTAATAAGCAAAGGCACTTATATAGTGTCAAAAAGTCGGCTACCTATAATATTGGATTCATGTGTAATAATTAATAAAGCCATTTATTGATACAAAAGCCGTTAAGACTGGCGATAACATGACAAATTGCAAATCATAATAGGAGCTGGAGAGGATTACGATTGACGCTATTAAATTTTTCCAATAATCAGTCAACGCGACGGAAATCACATGATTAAATATGACAGGCAAAATGTTTTTGAATTGCTTCTGATTTAGGAAGGAACGAAGCGCAATATAATCTTGGATTAATATTTCTTTTTAGGACTTAGGATCGATATATGCAAACTATATGCCTTCTCATAGACCATAAGGAAGATACAGATTCCAATCCAACTTACATTAGCCTCATTAATGCATTCCTACCTTATATCTTCGCTCTTCACCTGACGACGTCAACTTTAAAATAAATTCATTTTTAAATTAAATTTTAATAAGAATCGGGAATTTTTTTTTTATAAGAGTAGTAAAAATGTAGACAATGCTGTAAGTAACGGATTTTATGGTTAAACATTTTCAGAAATTAGCAAATTTCCAACGTAAACTAGGCCTGTGATTGTCACATGCGTCTACTCACGTGTTGATGAACGAATGATATCATTCCACGAGACGAAAATCGCCGTGCTGAAAATATGTTTCTGTGTAACTCGATATTCGAACATCTGTCATTGTCTAGAAATATACGATTCAGGTTTCAAAAATTAATTTCCTTGTGTTTATGAAATTTATATGATCGACGAATTACATGACAATTGTACGACTTTATGACAATTAAAAGAAACTAGAAAAAAAAAAGCACTTTTTAATTTTTTTTAACGATGTCTGACAATAAAAAAAAAGTAGACAAAGTTGGTGAGTATGAAGTTTAGCATATTTAAATAAGTAATTATATCTGAAATTGAACCAGATATCCATAAATTTAATAAATATTCAATATATAGAATCAGGTACAAGTGCAACAAATTTGTTACTGAGAGTAAACATGATTTTGCAACTAAATTTTTTATTTAAAAAATTAAATTTTTTTAGCAAGTAAGTTAATTTATTGATTATCGATATTTAATTATACTTGTTATTGTAATTTAAAGGTAACTAAATTTTTTATAATAATTTAGATAGTAAGTTACTTTTATTGATTATCAGTATTTAATTACACTTGTTATTTTAATTTAAAGTCAACTAAATTTTTTATTTAAAAAAATAAATTTTATTAGGAAGTAAGTCATTTTTATTGATTATCAATATTTGATTATACTTGTTATTATAATTTAAAGTTAACTAAATTTTTTATTTAAAATAAAATTTTATTAGCTTGTAAGTTATTTTTATTGATTATTAATATTTAATTATACTTGTTATTATAATTAAAGTAGCCAAAATTTTTTATTTAAAAAAATAAATTTTATTAGTATGTAAGTTATTTTTATTGACTATCAGTATTTAATTATACTTGTTACTATAATTTAAAATCAACTAAAATTTTTATTTAAAAAAATAAATTTTATTAGTTGGTAAGTTTTTTTTATTGATTATCAATATTTAATTATACTTATTACTATAATTAAAGTCAATTAAATTTTTTAATTAAAAAATAAATTTTATTAGTTCATAAGTTATTTTTATTAATTATTAATATTTGATTATACTTATTAATGTAATTTAAAGTCAATTAAATTTTTTATTTAAAAAATAAATTTTATTAGCAAGTAGGTTAATTTATTAATTATCAATATTTAATTATACTTGTTATTATAATTTAAATTTAACTAAATTTTTTATTTAAAAAAAAATTTTATTAGGAAGTAAGTTATTTTTATTAATTATTAGTATTTAATTATACTTGTTACTGTAATTTAAAGTTAACTAAATTTTTTATAATAATTTAGATAGTAAGTTATTTTATTGATTTTTAGTATTTAATTATACTTGTTACTGTAATTTAAAGTTAAATAAATTTTTTAATTAAAAATAAATATTATTAGTTCGTAAGTTATTTTTATTGATTATCAGTATTTAATTATACTTGTTACTGTAATTTAAAATCAACTAAATATTTTATTTTAAAAAATAAATTTTATTAGTGGGTAAATTATTTTTATTGATTATTAGTATTTAATTACACTTATTACTATAATTCAAAGTCAACTAATTTTTTTATTTAAAAAATAAATTAATAATATAATAGATAGTAAGTTATTTTTATTGATTATTAGTATTTAATTATACTTATTACTGTAATTTAAAATAAACTAAATTTTTTATTTAAAAAAATATATTTTATTAGCTCGTAAGTTATTATTATTGATTATCAATATTTAATTATACTTTTTATTGTAATTAAAAGTCAACTAAATTTTTTATTTAAAAAATCCTATAGATTGTAAGTTATTTTTATTGATTATTAGTACTTAATTATACTTGTTACTATAATTTAAAGTCAACTAATTTTTTTATAATAATTTAGATAGTAAGTTATTTTTATTGATTATCAGTATTTAATTATACTTATTATTATAATTTAAAGTCAACTAATTTTTTTATTTAAAAATAAATAATTAATAATTAATAATTTAGATGGTAAGTTATTTTTATTGATTATTAGTATTTTATTATATTTTGTTTGATTAGTTTATTATTTTTTTTAATAAGCTATTTTATATTATTATTTATTAATGAATAAAAATAGATATTATTCAAAATAATTTTTAATTATATTTTTTTTAAATAAATGTAAATAGTATTTGCTAACATAAATTTGTTTTTTAATGGATTAAGATATAAAATCTGATAATTATAAGAATAATGCTAGTAAATGGATAGAAAATGCACTAAAAAGTGAAAAAGTTAAATTTATACCATTTAATCAATTAATAAATTCTAAACAACTTACTAATGGAGGATTTGGATCTATTATGAAAGCAACTTGGATTAAAACAGGAAATTGTATTATTTATAAAAAGTTAACTAATATACAATCTATTAAAGGTAATATGTATATTAGATGCTTTTATTCATGAATTACAAATCCATTTACATCTTGATTATAGTGATCGAATTATTCGTTGTTTTGGTATTAGTAAAGGTAAATTATAATTGATCTATTTTTAAATTTATAATTGTATTTATTATTATAAAAATCCATTTTATATGCTTAATAGATCATGAAGATTATCTTCTTATAATGCAATATGCTAATAATGGTGACCTTCAAAATTATCTTGAAAAGAATTTTAAAAATTTAACTTGGGATGATAAGAAAAAATTAGCATTTCAAATTGCTGAAGGGTTAAATTACTTACATAACGAAAATATTTTGCATAGAGATCTTGTAAGTATTAGCTTTTTTATTTATTAATTTTTAAATTTAATCTTTAATATTTATTTAAATTTACTGTATCTATTTTTAATTTAGCATTCTAAGAATATTGTTATTCATGATGGTAATGCCAAAATCACAGATTTTGGTATTTCAAAAGATATGAATGCACAAAATTCAACTATTCATATCGGAACTTTTGGTAGAATTCCATATGTGGATCCAAAAAAACTTTTAGATTTAAGTTTTCAATATGAAAAAGCTTCAGATATTTATAGTTATGGTGTATTGATGTGGGAAATTTCTAGCGGAATTCCTCCATTTAAAAATTTTACTAGTAAATGTGATCAGGATTTACTCTATTTTAATATTCCTAAAGGATACCGTGAAAATACTATAGAAGGCACACCTGAAGATTATAAGGAACTTTTTGAAAAATGCTGGAATTCTATACCTGAGAAAAGACCAAATATTAAAAAAGTATTAGAGGAATTTAAAAAAATGGGTTTTGGAATCGATGATGTTGATAATTCAACTTATGAGGATTCAGCTCCTAAAGAAACCGAAATAAGTATTAAAAATATTTCGGCTGAAGGTATAGTAATGACAAATTAATATATTATTTATTTAAATATACTATTTGCATTAATCATTATGGTATTTTAATAGAACAAACCAATGAATTGAATCGACTTTTAGATACGCATGATGATTTAATTAGTAAGTTATTTAAAATACCTTTGGCATTTTAAAGAAAAGAAGTATTTACTAACGCATTAATTGTTATTACAACAATAAATAAAATGTGCTATATTATTTATATTTAGTTCCATAATATATGGTTTAAGCAGTAATTGGATATTAATTTATATATTACATTATTTTGTTTATTTTTATTTTTGATATTATATTTTATCATTTTATACTACTTGGATTTGTTAAAAAAAGATATATGATTAGCATCATATCATTGTTAAATAAATCTCAGTTTAAAACTTATCGTTATTAAATTTATTAGAAACTTTAAAAGTTAATTATTGGGAAATATTGCTTTATTATCGTTATTAACTTAATTAGAAAAAATTTTGAAGATTCACTTCCACGACATCATACTAAAAAAATTAAAGAACTAATGATTGTTGGAATATAGTTATCAGGAATGCAACAATTCCATATACGGTAATAGATATCAATTTATTCAAATTAAAAAAATGATATTTTATTTCTTAAAATTCACTTATATTTATCAATAATTTATCTATTATTTTACTAACTCATTCTTTTTATCTATTATATATTTCATATTATTACTACCAGATCAGTTAGCGAATTTGAAATGATACATTGAGAACTACCTATTATTCAAGAAACAATAGTAATGGTTGCAGAAGTGCTTAATAAAGCATGGTCCAAATAATTGTAATTTTCACTAGTTCAATAAGAGAATTCACATACTTTTCGCGAAAAGTTTAACTCGCAAGAAAAATGTTAAAAATTTTATTTCAGAATTATATTTCGTAATTTGTATGAGCAAACATTGATGAGTTTGCATATGGGACAAATTTTATTAGCATTTAAACAATCGATACTTTAAAAGAGAAGGTGTATTTTCAAATTATTTTACAATAATTGTTGGAATTTAGGACCAGTTCAAAATTTGTGATCCTCTTTAAAGGTATCATATGTAGAAATTTCAGATAAATTTAGGTTATTTTAATTTTGACGAAAATCCTAATTTAAGGTAATGCGAAATCTGGAAAATTATAGCTGATAAAGCAAATTATATTAAATTTTATTAGAATCATCACTGAAAAAGAGTTCGAATATAATTTAATCTAATTTACAGTAGAATATTGAAATCATTGCGTATTGATTTTAAGATACCTTTATAAATTGTATTAATATTACATTTAGCAATATATTTATTACCATAAAAGTTGCATTTATCTTCCCAAGTAAACTTATTTGAATTATCAATAAAATAGTATTTAAGTGCAACAACCATATTCTATTACCAACATATATATTTTAAATTAATATTTTGATTTTCAATTTTTTTTTAAGATACATATAACTTTTTAATAAACTTTATTATGAACATAATTTGTTACGGCCAAAGCGAATAATTTTATGAAAATAATCGTGTTAAATTTCGAGATAAATATAACTTTCTTGATATAAGCATAGGACATCTCTATTTTATCACAATTTTGTCGATCATTTATTAATCTTATCACATAATACAATATATGCTTAAATTCACAAATAAACTTAGAAACCTTTTAATTTAATAAAGAAATAAATATTTATTTGTATAAAGCATAAATTCTATTTATAATTGAAAAAATGTAACATTATACCGGGGGATATCAATCAGTGATGGCAAATGACCTGGTCATTTGTCATTTAATGTTGAAATGACCCAACTGACACATGACCAGTCATTTGAGGTCATTTGAGTCACTTGCCATCACTGGTGTGCATTGATTAGGAAGATTCGTATTATTATTACGTTTTATTTCAATAAATAATAGTAAGCACTTTTTTTATTTTAAGATAAGCGAAAAAATGTTAATAATTGATTTTGAAGAAAGTTTACTGATAAATAGATGTTTGTTAATTAAAAATTTGACTTTGGATAATTGATATATTTGAAATATTGTATGAACTTATAAACCGAGAAAAAGATCAATTAAAAAAGAAAAAAGTTTATGTAATATAAAATTTTACTTATTATTTTGACTATTATAAACTTTATTAAATTAAAAAAGACGGAAGTAATTATCTAGGTAAAGTTAATCCAAGTAATTACAACAAAATAACATAGACAGACTAGGAAGTTTTAAAACTAACAGAAGTTAATTATTTAATCGTATGAAACTGATGATGGCTTTTATGATCTATGTAAATATCAATTAAATTTAAATTTAATATTTGAAAATAATAAACTTACTTTAATTAAAGGTTGATAAATAATTTATTGATAAACTTTAAAGTTCGGGCTAATTAAATCTCCAGCGAGAAATAAACTTACTCGAGAATAAATCTTTTCTTTGCTTAGGTTCTGTAGCATATTTATTCATTTTCGTTTGGTTTATTTTCACCACAGTATATAACAATTAAAATGAATTTAAATCATAATATTGGTAAAATAATATTTGACAATAATAATATTACCCTAAAGTGATAGGTTTATTATATAAAAATTAATATGTAATTAATAATGAACTTTTGAGTGGAATCAAAGTTATTAATAAAATTAAAAGGAGCAAATGATTTGACTTTCGTTGTGTATTCATTTTGTAAATTATTTAAATTTTGAAGATTTAAAGTGATTTTGAAATATTTAATGTATAGAGAAAGTTATTTTCATTACTAAAAGCAAAAAAGTATAAAGCATTGATTGGTAATCACAAATAAGTAATTTCTTAAAATTACGTATCAAAAATTATACGTATTTTGATTTAGAATATATATATATAGTTCTATATTCGATCCAGGTCACTCTAATTTAGGAACTCAATTTCGTATTTATAAAATGAATAGAAAAGAAAGAATTTATTTATAGTTTTTATTCATACTAGATGACGTCATTTATCTGATTTTAGAATTTTTAAAATGAATGATATTAGATAAGCTTAAGCAAAATTTATTTTAAATACGCGGTTCAAAGTTCTAGTACCGTACCGGATTATTCATAAACTGGCCAAATTTTATTTTATTTCAATGTCTTTTATTGATCATTTAATAACATACGATAAATAGTAACTAGGTTGTATTGCGTCATAGAGTTTGGTAAAGTTGGTAAGCTGATTGGTTATTTAAGTATGTGAGTAATTAAGAGTACTGTATAATGAGAGGAGATTGGTAACGAGATTGACAAACTAGTTATTACACAATATATAGTAAGTGTTGTTGATTTTCGATTTCCCTAAGGTGTTTAAAATGTTTTTCTTTGTAAAAATTGTATAATCTTAATTAATCCTTTTTTTCTGATTCTTTGATCTTTACTTATTAATGGGTGATTTATTTTGCTGACTAAACTTGGTTTCTAAATCATTAATGATTTCTGCTTCCTTTTCTCGCTCTCTAATCGTTTCCTCTAAAACAATTAATAATTTCTTTGCTTAGCTTTGACTGCCTCTTCTCGCTTTTTATTCTTTTCTTGAGCTGAGATCTTAACTTTGACAAATTCTCCCTTTTAGTTACCAAATCAAAATTTTGCCTCAGGGTTTGGAATCGATTCCACCAAAATCGATATAATCGAAAAATCGAAAAATCGAATCTAATTAATAGTGACGCAGTAATTGCGACCCTAGAGCAATTAAACCCGTAAAAAAAAATCAAAGAAAGATAAAAATAAGGAAATTTGCCTTAATTACTTTTGTAACGATTCAAGATAAAATATAAAACTAAAAAAATGGGTACAATGAAGTTAAAGAGCAGAAGGTTAAAATTTTCGATTGCTGCTGCCTGAAATGATAACTGAAATATTTATTTAATTAATTCATCCCGAAGTTGAAAGTGTAAAACTAATGAGAAAAATACAAAAAAAAATAATTTAGATTAAAAAAAAATCCAATATGATGAAAACGCTTATCCTATTTGCAACGAGAGATCGAACACAAAAAAAAAAGAATATTGCAATGACTAAAAAAAAGATAATAACATAAATCCAAGCCAAACCTTATGAAAATAAAAATTTGATAAACAGGTTGTTCATGTTCAAAAATCGTTTCACTATGAATAAATTGAATTGAATCAATAAATTGTAATTAAAACTCGAGAAACGATTAATCGTTATTAATCATGTTTAAATCGATTTCAAATTTTAAATATTTTCAATCCTATCTTGCCTTATCTTTGATTCTGCCCCGCTAATAATTCTTAAGTTTAATTTCCAAATCTTTCATGTTGTGTATTTAAGTCATTAGATTGGTCTTTATCATACCTTTTTTTGGAATGATCGTTCATATTAAACTTGGCTTAATAAGTGTGCGCCAAGTAAAACCGGCTATTTTTAAATAAATATGATATTTTATTACGAAATGAGAACATAAAAATTATCAGAATTCTTTTCTGTGGTGGTATTAAAGTGCTGGTAGAAAAACGATTATCACTTTATTTCTTATATTTTTGTGTTTCAGACCGTTTATCATGAAAAGACAATAAGTAAAGAATTTTAACAAGATGATAGCATTCCTTTTATTTTTGTTATAAAATAAAATTTACATAGAAATAAATATATTAATTTCCATTTTCTATTAGGAAAAGATGATCGTATCACAAAAAATTGGCCAAAAACCAAAGTGAATTATAATTTTGTATGCTGAATGTTTGTTAATTCAAAGAATGAACTAATATACAAAATGTGAGATATAAAAAAAAAAAAGTAAAAAATGTTAACCAAAAAACAATCTCATTCATCATTGCTTTAATTCGTTATTGCAACCCATCCAAGCCTTGATTTTTTTTCTAAATGTTATTGCTACCATGATTAAAAAAGCAGATGCAGAAATCCCTCCAAAGATAGATAAACCCCATGTCAATTTATAGGATTTCGAGTGACTCGGGGTGGATTCGTTGGGGGGTTTGGATTTTTGTTTTTTATCCGGTTCAGGTACATCAACATCAATATCAGAATTCGGAGGTTTATCATTATCAAATCTTCCAAGGGAGGCGGTAACACAACCTATTCTTTCATTTTCATCTAACTTTGTTACAGATAATTCCACATGAACGTTCTTCGACTTAACAACTGTCCGCATATGTTATACTGTTATTGTTAATCTCTGTAATCTTTAATGGAAAATGAAAATGGAATAATGCAAAGTACCTAAATCTCTAACTTCTAATATAATGGTTCTGATCGTCACTATTGGTACATCTTCAATTTGGCAGCTCGGATTGAACACGATTCCATCATTTGTACAAGTTTGTTGGAAAGTATCATTTATCTTATAATCATCATAAATCCTGGAATGGAATTGTAAATGTTCGGTTTTTAGATTCTTGGAGGTCACTCCTTTGGCAAAGAAAATGATGACGTTTTCCAACTCGGAGTAATAAACATCAAAATTCGAAAATATTAGTTGACTACCAATAACACAGTCCTCTTCGTGTAAAGTTGGAATCTTTATGCCTTTTGGCGTCGGAATTGGCAAAACTTCCGTTACGTAGAACGATAACAGAATTATTGCATAAAAATTTCTAAAAATCTTGGACATATTTTGCATAAATCTACATCAAAAAAAAGTTTTTTTTTCGTGGTTGGGAAATTATTTATTCAACAAACTTGTTTGAAGCTGGTTATAGTTACACGGGAAATATAAATTTAAAAAGTTATTGTTCTATAAATAACTTTGATATCTTTTTGGTTAAATTATGTAATAACTAAAATGAACACAAATGTATCTTCTCATCTAAAAAAGCATATTTTTATTAACATAGCAATAAATAGAAAAGATCATTGTCAGCACAGCATCTCCTTAATTGCTAATTGTTTACAAAGAAAATAATAATGATCGTCACGTCATTTTTTTTTTTTACAACAGGGTCATTTTATTAAAATATATTCGTACCATTACATTAAATTATGTAAAGATTAATACAACTAAATGATAAGTAGCTATTGATTTTTCAGAACGACCAATCGAACTGCTTATGCGCACGAGACTAAATGATTTTTACCTAATTACAATAGGTAATCATGTCGAGAAAAAGTTTATTAGGGAATTTGTCCATCACTCGAAAAAGAAAATTAAAAATTAAAAAAAAAATGCCCAATTTGTAAAAAAAAAAAAAAAAAAAAAAAAAAAAATGTTAAAAAAATTCTGAATTAATTGAAGCTTTACCGAAGTTATAATTCAAAAGGAAAAATTAAAATTAAAAATTAAAAAATTAAAATAAAAATAATAATAGATCAATAACAAGAAACTTAATCCAAAAAAATCAGAATAAGTTATATAAATTATCTATATAAATTTTATAAATGAATTTACCTTTTGTTTTTTACTATTTACAATCTAATCTAAAATTTATTAAAAATCTTTTTCCTTTTCCTTTTTTTTATTTTATTTGAATAAATAATAATTATTGATATTTATCATTATATTCATTCGCAAATTTTTTTATATATCTACTTTTATTAAAATAGAATTAATTTTATTTTCTTAGAATACAAATTATTTATTTTTTTTTATATGTCTAATTGGAAGTATTGGAGTACAATAAGTAACATAAAATTATTTGAAATATTTGTTATGTGAAAGTATACTATAATTATACTTCTGTTAATCTCTTTTATAATCAATAGAACTCTTATAATTACTTCTGAGGCAATAACTTGAAAAATTTAGCTTCAAGTGATTTCATTAATATTCTATGTTTAAATAACGATATTACTATTTTAAATATTTATTATCCATTAAGCTGATTCGTGTAGAAAAGTTTGATATGGATGGTTTGCTATTAATCAAGTTAAGAATACATTTGATTTGTGAAATTTTAGTTAATATTGGTTCACTCGGGAAGAAATGTTCGCTACTGCAATATTTGTCAATGACGTGAAACAACGAAACGAGCAAATATATATACTGCATATCACGAATTTTTATTAGGTTAAAATTATTTAATTACATGATTTTCGCATTTTGTTTTTAAAAATAATCATATAAGTCTAGCAAGTCTTACAATTGCAAAACCGATATATCTCTATCTATTCCATTCCTTTAAACCAGTTGTCTTCTAGCGCACCAGATGCAGTCGGTCTTTCAGCAGGATTTTGACGTAATAATTTATCACGAAATTTTCTAGCACTTTCAGATAGCTGGATACGAATTCTACAATCATCAAAAAGGTTTCCAATCATCCAGATATCACCTGATACTTGACATAAATCCTCTCTACCTCTATATTCCGGAGCTGTAATATTCAATGTAGGTGTTCTGTAACAAAGTAATATAACAATTAATTAATAATTTTAATTTACGATCAAAAAGTTAGTTCATTAATCTATCATTATTATACCTTAGGTTACCTCTTCCAATAGGAGCAGCTTCTTCGAAGTCTATTAATATCCAACCATCATTTGTAAGTCTTAAGATGTTGTCCCAGCGAATGTCCCGATGAACAATTCTATTTGCATGAAGGTTATTCACAACATTAAGCACATCCCATATGGCGTCTCTCAGCTCATTTTCATCTTTAGGAATTGTCAAATATCCAACTGGTGTAAATTTTAAATATATCCATTTAACATAAAACTTCGATTGAAGTACCACATATTTCCCTCCTAAATTTGGAAAAATCCTAGTATAAAAATTTTCGAAGAAATCTTTATAATAAGGTCCTCTATCCTCTATATGTACTTTTTTAATGATTTTTTGGGGGGTTATTGTGATGGTGGTGTCATTTTTTCGTCGTATTACTTCAAATAATTTTATCTTTGGAACTTGTAAATACTGTTCGCAATTCCAAGTTTGAACAATCCGAACAAAATTGATTATATATTGAAGTGCCTTATAGTTATTTAATCGATTTGTAGTTCCAAGGTCTATGATGTCGCCAATTTTCACACGTTCTGGTTTATAATTTCCGGGATAATAATAATAAAATTGCAAGGTTGTACCAGCTGCCGCAAAAGCCATGACAAATGGCAACCTACCAAAGGCGAGTGGATTCCAATAGTCAAAGTATCCATCTAATTGTGTTTCTGCAGCTTCTAACTTAGTGTTAATGTCTTTTGCGTCGCCCATCATTACAAGTACTCTATTATAATATACCGCGATATCTGGTCGATATTTCTTATTTTCTGTCGTAGTAGTTGAAGATTGGATTGCCTGATTACGATCCAAACTCATATTACTACAACCACGTGCATATTCTTGGATAAGTTCAATGAGAATATTAATATGCGAATCAATGTTTCCCATAGTTATTCCTTCTTTACCAGGTCCTTCCTTAAAGTTCCTACTCATAACAACAGCAACAATAGCACTTAATCTAGAAGAATAAATAGGACTTGAAAATAAGGATTCAAGCACATTAGGATCAACAACTAAATCGGGGAGACATGGCAATTTAAGTAGTAATGGTTTGGAAAGCAACTGTTCAACATTATCACGACTAACTTCCTCATTAAAGGGACGCAAGAGCTCATCAAAAAATTTTGTTGTATTATCTAATATAGAATTATATGTCATATAATGAATTGGTAAAGGAAAAAATAAGATTTTAGTTGTTAAACATTAAAGCTTCATCAAAGTTACATCTAAAACTAATATATCTTACCTACGAGCTTTATCCTATTGTTTGCAAATTCAGTTGGCAGTTGTATAATAATACGAATATCCGTATTATTGGGTATTTCATCAAAAAAAATGTAGTCTTCATCCTCTTTAAAATATGATTCAACCATTCTTACTGGAAGCAACTCCTGTTGATTTTTGATATTATCCGCAAGTATTTTACTTCCCGGATCTGTGTCATCATTAACAGGAATATCCACCTTAAATAGAATCAGTTTATATGCACCTTCTAAGTCATTGCTTATTTCCTTCCAAATGTCTTTCCTGAGGTCAGAAACAGTCTTGTTTTTATTGGTTCTAACCAAAAAAGCGTTTCTAATAGCGTCCCCTAGAATGAGACAAAATAACATGATGTCGTTATGTCTGAAAGAAAAGATTTAAGAATGAGATTTGGAAAGTGTGTTACTGACACGAAGGAGTTAAAGATTTGAGAATTAAAATTTCACGCGTTATATATAGTATATACCGCATAACAAAACAGCGTCATACTCACTATTACTTATTTTGATTATAGATACCTTTTTGCATACATTATAGTTCAATAGATCTTTTAATCTCCGAATCACGAGCAAAATTGATATTGATAAAAACTAAAAAAAATTACGTAAACGATAATGTTTCAAAATTATTTTTTTTTTACAGAACAAGTTTAAATTGAGATTACGAACATAGTAAATCATATGATCCGTAACGTGATTAGTGTTACAATAGATCAGCATTTACGAATAGCGCAGATGTCAAAAATTTCATTTATATTAATTATATCAATTATATGTGTTAAAATAATTATACTAGTTTTCGTTTTTATATTTGTTTTATTATATATTTTTATTAAATTTTTAATAATTGTTATTTTGATATATTCGTTATGTTTGATATATTTATTTTATTTATTTTTAAATAAGTATTTAGAAATTCTGTATATAAACCCTGAAATCAGCTTTGTTCAAAAAAAAAAGAAGGATGACAAGTCTTGAGAAGAGACGTCCGAAATCTTTGAGTTAATAAAATTCCAAGTTTATCTTTCAAACTTTATCGTGTCTCCATATAAACTGTCTAATACCCAACTACACAAAAAATCGTATTAAATAAATAGTTGTATAAATCTTACTTAGAACGGGCCTTAGTTAGATTTAATCGTTGTTTGGTTAACCTGATTTCGGTATAGAATCGGGCTAACACCGGATCTAACCGGTTGAATCTAATTAATATCTAGGTGACATTTTGTTTTTCAAATTTTAAACAGGATATCCGATAATCCAGATAGATAACGGATATCCGTTATTAACGGTTTACTGGTCTGAACACTATTTTGCATAGATTATATTTATAAAAATATTCAGATGTAAATAATAGATCTTTTGGTATTAGACTTTAAATTTTTTTATAATATCTATAAATCTAATTATTATTTTAATAATAAAGTAAAGTGATATATTTTACGTAAAAAATCCTTACAAAATAAAAAAGACCATCACCAAATAATATTGACCCATCAAGGTAACATTTTTGAATTTTAGTATAAGACTATTCTTTAAATAGTCACGTTAAGATATTACTGAAAAAAATTAACCTATACACATTTGCTAGGAAAAAGAAAATTTAATTAAGAAATATCATTGTGATTACTGGAATTACGCACGCTATACTGTTCAAGCGGATATGATCTAGAATAAATAAGGAGGATTATATCTATTTTTCATAATTAAATTCTTTGTTAAAAATATTTGGGTAAAGTACAGGATATGGTTGGTATTAAGTTCCTATCATTGAATTAAACTCTAACGAAATGAAATCAGATTATAAAAAATCACAATTTAAAGCAAATAGGAAGTAAATATTTATTCAGAATCAGACCAGTAGAAAATAAGATAAAATAAAAAATACAAAATAAAATACAATAGAAGAAAATAATTTAAAATAGTAAGGAATTACAGGATTAAATAATAAGTAATAATACAAGAAATAAAAAAAAAATTCAACTACATTTTTTTAAATAAATCGATCTTTTGCTTTTTGTTTTTTGGCAATTTTATCAAAAAGATCATTGCATAAATCTTTTACGTTTGTCAAGATTATGCCTTGCTCCCGTCCGACTTTCTTTGCTTCAGATGTATATCCAAAGGGCGCCACCACAATACTAATTTTACTACAGTTGTCACGTTTGGAGAGCATCCCTGCAAGCTCATCTACAACGTAACGACCTAATTGCATTTTATTTTTTCAATAATACATGTACTTTCGATATAATACCTATTTTATTGGCCCAATTCTTGCATTGGATTGCAAATTCGTGACTTGTAGCCTCTCCAGGCCCACTAAAAAATAATAATATCAAAAAATGAGTACTTGCACCATTATTAGAAGAACGTTCAGAGTCGTTTGCAACTGAGACCACGAAGTGCTTTCATTCTTAATTACTGTACGCGCATCGAAATCCTTTTAGGAATGATGTGAAGAACATCAGAAATAGGGAGAAAGTCCCGGTCAAAACTGCGGCCACAAAGAGCTTTCGATTCCCTATTTTACATAAAGTGGCAAGCACATAACGACTCGACAAATAGTTAAGTGAGATACTCACCCATTTTTATTATTTTTGACGCCTACAGCATCCAATCTATCGGCAGTTGTGTCTTCTAGTTCCTTTCCTTTTTTGAAATTGTTCATTGTATTTGTTATGGTTAACAAATAGGAATGAGTTGTTTGAAATTTTTTTTACGGCTAGTCGAATCCGAGTCGAACAATGATCATGTTCAAGTCGAATCGGTTCTATAATTATTAACGGGTTCGAAATGCCTTAAACTCGACCAGACCCGAAGGAGCACTAGTTATGATATTGATAGACATTTTCGTGTTAATGTAGAAGGGATTTATCAATACTAATGCTCCGTTTAGAGATTAAAAAATTAACTGTGATAAAAAAAATTTAAAGTTTAATTAAAAATAAATTAACAATTATTACAATTTTAATCTTTAAACATACGTTTTATATTTGGATGCAGACCACCACAACAATTACGAGAATATTTATCACTTAACGAAGTTCCTCATCTCGTTGAGCAAATTAACCTGCTCTTCTCGTAATTGTCTCATTGTCATTACATCACCAGCATTTCGACGGGAAGTAGTTCGACACGCCATGGTGGTTTTTCTTCTTCGTCGCGCAGCTTAAAGAGCAGGAACAGCATCGTGATCATCTGCTGGTGGAAGAGGAGGGAGGGAGGGAGGGAGGGAGGAAGGGAAGGGAAGGGAGGGAGAATTACAATTGTTTTTTTTTAAAGCAACTGGAAAATAATTTTTGTAAAATAATAATTCATAAATGTTAAAAAAACAAACCATTTCACTATTTACTTATTCGCTCAAAAAACGAAAATATATTTTAGAAGTTTTCAAACCTTACCTTTATCTTTTTTCTTTTCTATTTAAAATGCTTTTTTATTAATTTGAGTGAAAGTAAAGAGAGAAAAGGTTTTAAAATTTCTCATGGGGATCTTTTTAATTAAATCGAACTTTTGAGAATAAACTATTACGTGTCATATCGGCAACATCTATTACTCTAAAAATCGAACTTTCTGGAATATTTTATAATAAAACAATAGTCATATCGACATTTATTAATTTTATATTTAACAAAAAAAAAAAAATGGATTCTTTGGAACGCTCCTGCCAAAATGTCCTGGTTTCAAAAGAATTTGACATTACTACAGTATTTTAAAAACTCGACATAAGATTTATGGCGTGGCTTAGCAATTTTCTTGAATACCAACCAATTTTCAGCAATAACGATTCGATATTTCTTTTACTCTAATTTTTTTTTTTTTTTTTATTTATTTTTTTTTGATTTTTTTGGAAGATAAAGGTAATTCAATTGGTTTTTTTTTTAGTCATTCTTTTCGAATGATTAATTAACATAGGCAAGTGTTTCTCATTGTTTCGATTTTTTTTTTCTTATAATGTCTCCTCTTTCGGGTTCGATTATTTCCATTGTGTCCATCGATTGATTTATAGTAGATTTTTCATTAATGGAATTATTTTCTACTTTTGCTTCAGCCCGCGATATTTCTTTTTTCTCTTTATTTCGGATAAGTTTATTTTCTTCAAGCACGCTGTGATCGAACATTTTCATCTATCCGCCCTTTAGCTTGAATGAACTTTTTTTTTTAGGTACTTCTTTCGGTTTAATTTGATTCTGGAAGTAGATAAGGCAATTTCCTTAATTATCTTAACTTGTATATTATTTTATGGGTTTAATCGCTTCGAGATGAAGCGATCGAATAATACTTGACACCAGGGTGGTAGTGGATGTTAAATACGCGGTTCTACTTAAGTAAATTAAAACTTTGAGCGTTAAATAAGTTAAATTTATATTAATAGAGCATCAAGTGATGATCAATTAAAAAATTTTTTGACTGGACTGGTTATCAAACAAATTCGTCCTATTATTACCTTTAATTTGATGACTCTTGGAACCGGTCCGGTTTGATTTTTAAAATTGGTTAAAAATGGTTTGTGACTCGGGAAAACCCAGAATATGCTGAAATTATAATCGGTTCCAGAACCGACTCGGAGTCGCTCCTTTTGAACCGTCCCCATCCCTAAATATTTCACGTAAAACATTACAAGAGTTAATAATCATTTTGCTGTATAATCAGGATTTCCATAAAAACTGAGAATTTTTTTAGTTGTACAAATGGATTAGATTAATTCCAAGTAAACAACGCTTGGTGCAATTAATTTTAATTTTGCACTGGGTTAGTATCTAACACATTCTGAGTGCATACGTGGTATTTCAAAAGATTTCAATAAATATTATCAAATCAACTTACTGTAGTTTGATTATGGGACGTTCGTCGAGAAAGTCTTGATTGGGAAAATTTTCTTA